CATCTATTTGTCATTCATGTGAAATTCAAATTTTACTGGGTGTCCTGTATTTTATCTGGCTGTCTTTTTCCTGACAGGCTAACCCCCTTGCACTTTCTGAGCCACCACTTAACTTTTCCTGAATGAGAGTCTCTTGTCTTTAAGATCGGGAGCTCCCTGAAGGTAACGGTCAAGATTTCCCTAACTTGGGATGGGGGTGTAGGTCAGTGGTAGAGCACTTACCTAGCATGCAAAGCCCTGTGTTCTACACCCAGCCTGCAAAAAACAATTGCCTTTCCAGCATGCTGAGAGTCAAGAGGGGTGAAGGTGGAGCAAGGAGGATGTACACCCACCTCCACACCCACAGCAGGGCTGAGAAGAACCCAGGTGCTCTTGGGGTGCCCAGGATGTGCTTCCTGTCAGTGCCAAGAGATGTCCAAGTGGTAGTGGTGGTTGTGTATGTGCACTTTGCATGTTGTATATGAGTATATGGAATGGCTTTGTGGTTCTCTCTGGGTCTTTGAGGACTGTGTACAGTAGATGTGTCCCCTGCTCTGTTGGGCAATGAGAACTCTGGTAAACCCAGGGGTAAAAGGGCAGTGCTGGTAGAGGATCTTGTTAGGGGTATGGATTTATATGTGTGAGAATGTTGTGGATTATCAACCATTTAAAATGGGCCATTTATATTCCTGTAATCTCAGCAACTCAGGAAGCTGAAGGAATAGGATCACAAGTTCAAGGGCAGCCTCAGCAATTTAGTAAGACGAACCTCAGTGACTTAATGAGACCATTTCAAAATTTGAATACAAGTTAAAGGATTGGGTGCTGGGGTTATAGCTCAGTGGTAGAGCGCTTAACTAGCATGTGTGAGGCACTAGGTTCAATCCTCAGCACCACATAAAAATAAATAAATAAAATAAAGGTATTCTGTCTATCTACAACTAAATTCTTTTTTTTTAATTAAAGAAAAAAATGAAAGGATTGGGAATGTAGCTCACTGGCAGAATAGCCCTGAGTTCAATCCCTAGTACAAAGAAAAAGTGGGCTGGAGAAAACTAATGTAGGGACCTAGCTTGGTGCTGATTAGGTGAGTCAGTGGGAAGGCCTGGTTTCTAGAAAGGGGAAGGGGGCATCCTACCCTGGAAGCTCCCTGAGAGCAGGAATGGGATTTTCTTATCTGCCAGCATACAGTGGACCAGGCTCAGAAATATTTGTAGGGGAAATCAGATAATTCAGTAGTGTTATAAGGTGCTGCAGAGACCTAGCTGAATAGTTTCTGTTTTTATTTGGGTATTTGGAAGTTATGGAAGTTTTTTGTCTAGATAAGTCATAAGACCGAGCTATATTATTAAAAATGCAGCCAACCACCAAGAGGGAGCAAGCCCTGGGGCCAAGGGATCCACTGAAAACAGGAGGGAAATTGGGAGTGTAGGTAAAGAAGAGAAAGGGAATACTGAAATAGGAAATGGAGGGATCTCAAACCTTTTTCCCCTTGGTGGAACCTAGCCTGGTTCTTAGCCAGACCTATACCACTAAACTTGAACCATGTAGTTTTTCCCTATAGGCAGAGTTGGGGTTGTCCCTCTTATTAACCACACTATGATTTATGACTTTAAATCCCTGAAATCCACCCTGTCCCTCTTGGTTCCCCACTTTTCCAGCTTCCCTTTAGAAAGCAGGGTTAAGAGAAGAGTCCAGTCCAGAATCAGCCTGCCTAAAAGTCTGATATTGACTTGCTGTGTGACCTGGGGGTAGTCACTGCCTCTCTGTCTGTTTTCATCTCCACGTTAGAAACTGAGCTGAGAATCCCTGCCCCCCTCACCTGGGATTCAGCCTACTGTTCTGTAGGGCTGCCTGCAAGAAGGCAGAGAGAATAGAGAGACAGGGCCATGTGTGGACTCCAGGGTGAGGTAGGTGAGGAAGAGCAGAGGGTCACCACACCATGAAGAATAGCAGTGGAATAGCCCCACAGGAGACCTGCTGCCCTGCTACAGACCCAGGTGGGGAGGGCTTTCTTAGAGAGGCACGCTTGGGTTGGGGTATGGAGAAGGGATTTGTGGGTTCCACAGGCCTAGGGAGGCATACAAGGAGCTCCTGGGGTCTTAGCACTTGTGTGTATTTCTGGAAGAGGAGGTGTCTACATTTGTTCACTTGATCTTTGACCCTGTCAGCTACTCTCTTGTGTCTTACTTTCTCTGGACAAGTGTCTTTCCAACTGTGCCTCCGCCTGTGCCTCCATCCAGGTGATTCATCCTCCTCAACCCCATGCCCAGGGGGAGGGCAGGGCAGGATCAGCCAGGATGTGCTGAGCAGGGCAGGGTAAGCAGCCCAGCTAAGCTGAGAGGAGCACCTCCTCAGTCCTGGCCGGGCCCTACCTGCTCAAGTGGGCAAGGAAGTGAGGAAACTACCCAAAGCAAGGTACGGGATGGCGGGGGGAGTGCTTGGCCTGGGACACCATGTTCCCTCAGCTAGAAAGGGCCCCTGGCCCGAGTCTCCTGGGGCCTACCTGGCCCAGGTATAGCCTGGGTGGGGTCAGGGGCACAAGGAAGGTTCTGGAATCCTGTGAGTTGAATATTCTTTTCTTCCAAGACTCAGAGACTTAAAAATCCCCTAAAACTCTGCCTTTATGACCTTGTAAGGGAGGATATGGATATCTCTATGTGCCACTGCTATATCTTTTTGTAGTGGAGGCAGCAAATGACACTGTGATTGTTTACCAGGAGGAGGCAAGTGTCTTATGTCTGTGTGTATCCCAGGGCTAAGACCCTAATGTTTGTTTCATGAGTGTGACATAGTAAATTATGTTATGTCTGTGATTCTGTGTTCATGTATCTGAGTAAGTAGTTGTCATTGTGTAAAGTTGTGTCTGGCCTGGTATAATTGACCCCACATAGCTAGTCTTTATGTTTAACCATGTTTGCAGATGTGTGGAGGTACATTATAATGTATATCAACTCCATGATTCTGTAAATTGAGATAGAGTTAAATGACACTGTGTATCTTTATGATTCAATGGAACCATGTTTGAGGGATGTATAATAAGGTATATGATGGTATGTGGTTAGGTGATTATCATGAGATGGTAGATTGGCCATTATGTGAGTATCTTTGTAACTGTGTACAACCATGTTTGCAGGTAAATATGATACCACGATCCTGTGTGATCATATGTGAGATCATAACTTCAGGTCTTTGTAACTGCATATGACCAGACAGACTTTCAGGAGTGTAATGACCTGTGTTTGGATGTTTGAATTTATGTGGCCTTACAGTTGTGTAAAACTATAAATAACACCATGTTCTTTTGTGACAGTGTGGAATCATTTGTGACTGGTCATTGATGAGACTGTCACACAGGTTAACAGGCCTTTTGTGGCTATGAGAGTCCAAGTAACTGTGGCACAACATAACTGGCAATGTGTGCAACTGGTAGCTCTAGAAGCTCTGAACCACTGTTCACTCTCTTGTCCTCACACCTGCTTTCCTGCGTCTTTCCCTACACAAGCACCTTTTATGGCTCCCTTCTGCCACAGGATAGATGTTCAACTCCTCAGCCTGTCATCCAAGCTTTATCCCCTTCTCTGGCCCCACCTGACTTCTCTGTAATCTGAGGCATTCCTAAGGCCCCCTCCCCAGTCAAGACCACGTGTCAACCCTAAGAGACCCTTCACTGCCTTCCAGACTGAAATTTCTCTTGTAAGTGTCACCATCATCTCCAAGGCCCCAAACAGGTGGGTTTAGGAGGCCCTAAACTAAGGGAGGAGGGACAATACAAAAAGACTTCCTGTTTTTCTGAATTTGCTGCTTGCTCTTTTAAACTCATTCTGGTGACCTGAACTCAGAATTCTGGATGTATGTGTCAGGGGTGGCATATGTGTGGGTATGTGTTGATGTGAAAGTAGATGAGACTAACACAGATTGGTGAGACACTGTTTTTTGTTGTTGTTGTTGGAGGTTTTTTCAGTGCTAGGGATTGAACCCAGGGGCACTTTAACAGTAAGCTACATTCCCAGTCCTTTTTACGTTTTGTTTTGGGATAGGGTCTCACTAAATTGCCAAGTCTGGCTTCCTGCCTCAGCCTCCCGAGTTACTGGGGTTGTAAACAGCAAAACTTTTGCTCATGAAACACAGTTTCATCATTTTTAAGCTCACTCAGCTGTACAAAATTGTAGACAAAAAAGTTCAAATATTCTCATAGCCTTAAAAAAAAAACAGGTGGAAGCCAGGAATGGTGACATTCCTGTAATCTTGGTGAAATTAACCAGCAATTTAGTGAGACCCTCAGTAATTTAGCAAGACCCTGTCCCCAAATCCCAAGATGTTTATGTTTCTTTTCTTTCTTTCTTTTTCTTTTTTTTTTTTTTTTTTTTGGTACTGGGGATTGAACCCAGGGGCACTCAACCGCTGAGCAACATCTCCAGTCCTTTTTACATTTCATTCTGAGACAGGGTCTCACCACGTTTCTTAGGCCCTCGCTAAATTGCTGAGACTGGCTTTGAACCTGAAATCCTCCTGCCTCAGCCTCCAGAGCCACTGGAATTATAGGCATATGCCACCATGCCTGGTTCTATCTCAAAATCTTTTTAAAAAGGCTGAGGATGTAGCTTAGTAATAAAACACCCTTGGGTTTAATCCCCAGTACAAAAAAAAAAAAAAAAGATAGAAAATGGTTTATGCCAAGCATACCCACTGTAACTGTATAAACAAATGCTACAAATATACAAACTTTAGAGTGCTCATTCCCATCCCCAGCCTGATTAAACTCCCTAATAGTAATGCCCACTGATATACATGAAATCAATGCACTAATCACAAAGAACTCTTATCTGTTGATGAAAACAATCAGCCCAAGCCCTAGACCTGGCTTCACATCTGAGGGCTGGGGTAGGGGTTTCCCAGCAGTGCATTGTGGCCATAAAAGGGGCTCCATGAAACCCAATACCCGAGATACCTGCTAAGACATGGAACTCCCCTTTGGAGTAAAGTTAGTTGCTTCACATCCAGTTTCTCCCTTTCTGCAGGGCTGCACCAGGGAAACCGGATCCTGGTTAAAAGCTTGTCCCTTGACCCTGGCCAGAGCCTTGAGCCTCATCCAGAAGGCCCCCAGCGGCTTCGCTCAGATCCAGGCCCCCCCACTGAAACCCCTAGCCAGCGTCCTTCACCACTGAAGCGGGCACCAGGCCCAAAGCCACAGGGTAAGTGCTTCCAGAAAGAGCTGAAAAATGGCCCAGGGGAGGGGATAGAGGAGAGAAGTTAACCAGTGTCAGAGGAGAGGGCTTGTTAGAACAAGAGGCCTTGTGGTCTCAGAGAGAGTGCTACCTACCCAGCAGGCAGAGGATTGTGGCCTGGGGTGAATGTGCATTGGGATCTCACCTCAGGCCTGCTCTGTGCCTACCTCAAACAAAGACAAAAGAAAACAAAAAAATCCCACAAAACTGGGGTTTGTAGAGAGGGATGTAGCCTGGTCATATAGCCACCCCTAAACCCAGCTCATTGAGGTATCTCTTCTCTTCCTCAAACTCTCTAGTCCCCCCAAAGCCCAGCTACCTGCAGATGCCCCGGATGCCCCCCCCAACCTGAGCCTATCCCTCCTCCGCCATCCCGCCCACTACCTGCAGACCCCCGAGTGGCCAAGGGTCTGGCCCCCAGGGCAGAGGCCAGCCCAAGTTCTGCAGCAGTATCCTCACTGATTGAGAAGTTTGAAAGGTAAGTCTGGTACCTCTAGGACCTTGTGGGGGATGGATCGGGATAGGAAGGGATGGTTTTAGGAGAGGCCTCTCAGTCAACCTCATACCCTGCTTCCATATGTGTCCACCACCAACCTCAGAGAACCTGTGATTGTCGCCTCGGATAGGCCAGCCCCTGGCCCCTGTCCAGGTCCCCCAGAGCCAGCCATGTTGCCACAGCCACCCCCGCAACCACCAGTGTCCCAGCTCCCTGAGGGTGAGGCCTCCCGCTGCCTGTTCCTGCTGGCTCCTGGGCCTCGGGATGGTGAGAAGGTACCTAACCGTGACAGCGGCATCGACAGCATCAGCTCGCCATCCAACAGTGAAGAGACCTGCTTTGTCAGTGATGATGGGCCTCCCAGCCACAGCCTCTGTCCTGGGCCCCCTGCCCTGGCCAGTATGCCTGTTGCTTTGGCTGACCCCCACCGGCCTGGCTCCCAGGAGGTTGACAGTGACCTGGAAGAAGAGGATGATGAAGAAGAGGATGAGGAGAAGGACAGAGAAATCCCAGTGCCTCCAATGGAGAGACAGGAGTCTGTGGAGGTACTGATCCGTGTTTGCCAAGAGACAAGACCTTGCAGAGAAACCAGGAACCTGGCTTTTGTGCTTGGTTCTTGCCCAGCATGGTATTTCTCAAAACAGGGCATTGTTTCCATTTAGGATGTTTAGCTTCCCTAGTATCCTGGCACTAAATACTGATAGTAAAACCCCTCTAATTATTGTGACCACCAAAATGACCATGCATCATTCCAAATGCCCACTAGGAAGGTGGTTCTACCTTCATCAGAGAACCACTAGCCAGACCTCATTTTTCCTTTCTGAAGATGGGCATTCTGGTTGGGGGATCTTTAAAGTTCTGTCCCAATTGGGAAAAATCTCATGACTCAGTAGCTGTGTGACATTGGTCAAGTCTCTTCCCTCCCTGCTCTCTTACCACAAACCTCAGTATCCTTGTTTGTATAAGAGAAAGTCTCACATTCCAGAGAGGCTTCCTGACAGCTGGAGGGAGGGCACAAGATCTAGAGCCTCAGAAAGACTTAAGCCTGTGGAGAAGGAGACTCTTTTTTTTTAATTACTTATTTTATTCATTTTAGTTGCTGATGGACCTTTATTTTTTATTTATATGTGGTGCTGAGAATCAAACCCAGTGCCCCACACATTCAAGGCATGCTCTCTACCACTGAGCTACACCCCCAGCCTGAGAAGGAGACTCTTAACTTCAGGGACCCCTTTCTGTACCCTTACAACCTAATATTTCTTCAAAAGGCATCCTTGCACTTGAGTTAGATCTCAGCTGCTCTGCCAGGACCAAGCTCAAGTGTGGGGGCTAAGGCCATAAATTACTGGGATAAAAGGTATTCAGTGAATATGTATCTAGCAAATCAGGAAACTGAACCAGCAATGAGTTTTAGACCTTTCTATACTTTTGTGTGTTTATCTCACCCCCAGGTAATCATCAAGCCTTTGCTGACTATAAACTGAATGGGTGAATAAATAGCTAACTAATATTTATAGACTACTTGATCTGTAGTTTACTCTGTTATATAATTGTCTGAATTACAAATGGGCTTAGGTCCTCTTATAATTGGAATTTATAGATGAGGGATCTTATATACAGAGCAGATAAACAACTTACACAATCTTGTAAGTGGCAGAGCTAGGATTTGAACCCATGAAGTCTTGACATTCCAGTCCCTGTGCTTAACCACTACACTATGCCCAGTGAACAGAGAGAGCAGATGAAAAGATAAATGAATGACTGAGTGAGTAAGTACATATTATCAGAATTGAGGGTGGGCTTTGTGATCAACTGGGGAGTCAGGGATGAAGCAGGAGAGGACTTAAGTGTCTAGAGATGGGGTTATGGTTATCTCAGGGCAGCATTGGGCTTAGAGCACGATGTGAGCTGTTGTAAGAATTCTAGGGGAGCCAGGTAAAATGGCATGTGCCTGGAGTCCCAGCTACTGGGGAGGCTGAAGTAGAAGGATCACTTATTTGAACCCAGGAGTTTGAGGCCAGCCTGGGCAACATAGCAAGACCTTGTCTCTTAACAAATTATTCTAGAAACTTGGGTAAGGGTTAGGGTGGAGGATGATGAATCAAGCGTCAGCTCTTTTCCTTTCAGTTGACTGTGCAGCAGAAGGTGTTCCACATTGCCAATGAGCTCCTGCAAACTGAGAAGGCTTATGTTTCCAGGCTCCATCTACTGGATCAGGTGAATGTCCCCTCAGGGGTCCCAGGGACCCATTACCTGATAGATGGGTTCCAAGGAAGAAATGATAGGACCTGAGCCTAACCTTACCACTGAGGTTAGAATCTAGAGGTGGTAAGGCCCCTCTCTGACCTTGAAGCTAACTGTCCCTGAATCCAACTCTGATTTTTATTATTCCAAGTTTGATCCTGATATTAAGCCTGGACAGGTATTCCAGCCCTGATTACAACTCTTAACATTAATACTGACTATTCTCCAGATCCTAAATTTACCCCTTATTTGAACTTCACTCTAATTCTGGCCCTTTGCCTGACCCCAAGTCCAATAGGAATTTTTATCTACTTTGTTCACTCCTCCATCCTAACCAGCAGGACAGTGCCTGGGACACAGTAGGCACTCAGAAATATTTGTTAAATGAATGGATTTAATTCCAACTTTCTATCTGATCCTGAATCTGTTTCTGACTTTGACTCCGATCCTGACTTCTCATTGTTCCAATGTCTGACTGCTAACCTTAACATTGTGAAGTCCAACTCCATATATAACCCTAATTCCATTCCCTTTCTCCTCAGTCTCCAAACCAATATTGATCCCAAACCCTCACAAAAATTCCCACAAACACTACCCTCACCTGCAAGCTAGCCCTTCCCCAGCCAAGCCCCAAGCCCAGCTGGGCTAAATGCTCCTGCCTTACTCTGCAGGTGTTCTGTGCCCGTCTGCTAGAAGAAGCTCGGAACCGCAGTTCCTTCCCAGCTGATGTTGTACATGGCATCTTCTCTAACATCTGCTCCATCTACTGCTTCCACCAGCAGTTCCTGTTGCCTGAGCTAGAGAAGCGCATGGAGGAATGGTGAGAGGCCCCAGAGCTAGGCTGCCTACAATTTGCTGCTGATCCTAAGCCCAGATGTGTACATTTGAACCCAGGAGTTTGAGGCCAGCCTGAGCAACATAGCAAGACCTTGTCTCTTAACAAAGTTCATTCCTGGTCTGGGGGTGTAGTTCAGTGGTAGAGTGCTTGCTTAGCATGCCCTGGTTTGCTCATATTCACCACAAAATAAAAAGAAGAAAGTTTCCTACCTGCCCTCTCTTACTGACTTCCATAAAAAGAACCAAGCTGCACCTTCTAGGCCCTCCTGAGTGTAGCACAGATGTAGATTTAGAAGATTACAACAGAATAGCAGAGCCCTTAAGCAGGTGAAGTTCAGGCCAGACATGGTAGCACATGCCTGTAATCCCAGCTACTTGGTAAGCTAAGGCAGGAGGATCACAAGTTGGAAACCAGCTTTGGCAACTTGGCCAGACCCTGATTCAAAATAAAATAAATAAAAATAAAAAGGGCCCAGGCTGCAACTCAGTAGTAAAGTACCTCTGGGTTTAATCCCCACTACTGGAAGAAAAAAAGTATGAGGTTCAAAGCTAAATTGATACAAGGTGAAAGATTTACACAATCTCAAGAGAATCCAAAGTATCCAGAGATAAATTGGCATGTTCAAATTCTGACTCTGCTGCTTGCTAATTTCTTAAATTGCTGTGCCTCAGTTTCCTCATATTTATTTAGGCACTGAGATTGAAACCAGAGGCATTTTACCATTGAGCTATATTCCCAGCCCTTTCTACTTTTTATTTGGAGATAAGGTCTTACTCAATTGCTGAGTCTGGCCTCAAATTTGTAATCCTCCTGCCTGCGCATTTTAAGTAGCTGGAATTATTATAGGTGTGAACCTTTGTGCCTGACCCCTCATCTTTACAATGGGAATAATAAGTGTTATTTTAAGGATTAAATAAATTGATACATGTGGAGATCTCTTAACAAACAGTACCCAGTATCTGAGTGCTCAGTATTTGTCAGCTATTGTTATTTTTATCTGTGCTATGATAGAGGTGAGAATGGGAGGGTGTAGGGATCAAACAGATGGATCAAGCCTAGCCTGGGGGTCTGAGAACAGATTTAGAGAGGAGATAATGCCTGAACCTAGTCCTGAGGGAGCAGGGCAGGTTTTACAGATAAACTCTAGCCTCTAGGCTTTCCTCTTTCAATTCAGCCTTTTCAAGTCTATACCACCTGCTTGAATGATCATTTAACAACAACCAGATCATATCAGTCCCCGCTTAAAATTGTCTACATGTTCCCCACACTTATAAGATAAACTGTGTCCCTCTTACCAGACTGTGATCACAGAGGCCTGGCATGAAACCTGGCTTTGCTATCTCCCCAGGAGCCCATGACCTCAGGTCTGGTTTATCTCCCACATCAGACTATGACTAGCGAGGATTATGAGCAGACCTGGTTTCTTGGCCTCCCGCAATGGACAGTGAACCTCTCAGAGCTCAACTGGGTGTGACTCATTTCTGTGTTCCCAACACCACTTAACACAAGATTGGGCACAGAATCAATTATATAGGCCTTGCAGTAAAGTCAAGGCAGATGTTCCAGGACATGTTGTTCCTGGTGCTTGAGCAGGAGTCAAGGCAGGAGGCCTCCCAGGCCGTGTTCTCAGGTCAAAAGAGCCTCCTGGCCTAATTGGCCTATGTAAGCAGCATTTCCAAAGAAGTCAACTGGTTGGGAAGTAGGTTTCCAGGACTGAAATGAGAGTGATCTGCCTGGGACTAGAGACCTATGAGGGAGGTCCCTGGGAGCTAAGTTTCAGCAGGACCACATCAGCCCCCATTTCTACCCCAGGGACCGCTACCCACGCATTGGAGACATCCTGCAGAAGCTGGCACCCTTCCTCAAGATGTATGGCGAGTATGTGAAGAACTTTGATAGGGCTGTGGAGCTGGTCAACACCTGGACAGAGCGTTCCACCCAGTTCAAAGTCATCATCCATGAGGTGCAGGTAAGTGGCGAACCTGGATGGAGCAGACAGAGGGAGGAAAGATCTGCAGGGACCTGTTGGGGGGTGTGTCTGCAACTAGACCTGAGCTCCTCTCTTTCTGCCTGTCACAGAAGGAGGAAGCCTGTGGCAATCTGACATTGCAGCACCACATGCTGGAGCCTGTGCAGCGCATCCCCCGCTATGAGCTGCTTCTCAAGGACTATCTGTTAAAGCTGCCTCATGGCTCCCCAGACAGCAAGGATGCCCAAAGTGAGTGTGTGTACCCAGACCCTGCCCTGCTCCCTGACACTGATAGCCCTGGGTCAGACCTCTCATGCAGGTCCCCAAAACTTAATTCCCAGGTTCAGCTTTCCATTGACATGTGATTGAGATCCAAGAATAGAAAGAATCTCTAAACTGAAAGACCTACATTGACACTGAATTGAGACCTCAGGATGAACCTCCAGGTTAAGATCCCTCCCTGTGTACCTAGAAAGAACACTCAAAAGGAGTGTCCCAGCTGGAACTTCCCAAATGGAACCCCAGAGTTTGAGAGGCATGCCCAGATGGACCCCCTAAAGGAAGCCATCCTTTTTTTAGGCTGACCCTCAGACTTATCCCCAAATGAAGTACAAGTACAAAATTAAACTGAACATGAACCCCCAGGGACTGAGCTTCTAGGCTAGAGCTTAGCCTAACTTCCTCAGACCAAGACCTCTTTTACTAAGTCTCCATGGCTGAGCTCCCCAGAAAGAGCTCCATTCTATGTCCACTATCCACTCCCCAAAATGAACCTTCCAAAAGAACATCCAAATTTGATCAGGGCCCCACAGAATCACCTCTAGAAATGATCACCCTAAACTGGTTCCCTTATTTTCTACCTCAGATTTGGATCTCTAGGCCAAGAAACTTCCTCCCCAGACTGAGTCCCTACACACTAAACCACTAGAAAAGTATTTTATTGTGACTCCTCCAGTACCTGTCCCATCCCTATAGTATCACACCCCATGTAGAGCTCCCCAGGGTCCACCCCACTTGCCCTTCCCCAGACTGCTATTTATATGTATTCATTCATTAACTTAACAAATGAGCACCTTAATATTTAGGGCAGAGCTCTAGGCACTGGAGATATAGACGCAAACAAAGCAGACAAGGGCCTTGATTTCAGAAAGCATGTATTCTAGTTGGGCAGAGAAATGATTAAAGTAACAAATGCACAGGAGGGCATTAGGTAGATGCTAAGTGTAACTCAGAGAATTAGAAGAGAGTGATATGACAGTGACTGGGCAGTCTACTTTAAGTTGGATGGCTTCTCTGAGTAGAAGACATTTGAGTCAAAACCTGAATAACAAGAAGAAGATAGCTACATGCCAATGGGAGGAGCACATTTCAGGCAGAGGCAACAGCAGGTGCAGAGTCCCCAAGGCAATAGGGATACTGGGGAAACTTTGAGAGGTGGGAAGTTTGCATATCTCTGGATCAAAATAAAGGCCACTATGTTTCGAGCATGGCAAGTGAGGGTAGACTAGAAGTGGGGTTGGAGAGATAAGCAAGACTTTGAAGGTCAAGATAAGGAGATGGATTTATTCTGAGTGGGGTGGATAGCCATGGGAAAGTTTTTGTCTGGATTACATGGGAAGAAGAGAGGGAACCAAGTGATTAATTTGAAGACCTTTGCAATAATCTAAATGAGAAAAGCTGACTTGAATGAAATAGTGGAAATGGTTACAAAAGATTGAATTCAGGTTATATTCTATTTGGAAGTGGCACTGAAAGGCCTTAGAGTGGATATGGAGCCTGGGAGAGCTGAGAACAATGGTTCTTAGCTGGGCATGGTGGTGCATGCCTGTAATACCTGTGACTCAGGAAGCTGAGGTAGTAGAATCACAAGTTCAAGGCCAGCCTCAGCAGCTTAGTAAGATCCTGTCTCATATAAAAATAAAAAGGATTGGGGATGTGGCTCAGAGGTAAAGCACCTGTAGGTTCAATCCCCAGTACAAAAAAAAAAGAATGATGGATCTTCTTTTAAAAAAAATTTTTAGTTGTTGATGGACCTTTATTTTATTCACTTATTTATATGTGGTGCTGAGAATTGAACCTACTGCCTCACACATACTAGGCAAGTGCTCTACCACTGAGCCACAAGAATATTGGTTTTTTAGATAAGTTTAGGAATTTGGTTTTTAGACAAAAATGAGCTGCCAATTTTGGCAGTTAGATGAGTCTAGAATTCCAGGGAGAGGGATTTAGATTTCACTGGCACATAGAAAGTATCGAAAGTCATGGAGTTGGCCAGGATCACCATAAGGAGTGAGTGTAAATGGAGGAGAAAAAGGACCTAGGACAAAACTCAGGGAAGTAGAATCAGAAAAGGAGACTTAGAAGGGGCAGCCATAAAGGTAGGAAGAAAACAGGGAACGTGTGGAAGCCACAAGAATGAAGAGTAAACAACTGTGTCCTGTGCTGTGTCTGCTTCCCTACTTAGCTCTTCACCCTACCAGATGGGATACTTTGCTACCAAGCCTGTACCTCTAGAAAGAGCTAGACCTCTAGAAAGTTTGATAGCTGAGATCTCCAAATGAATACAAAATACTAAGTATCTCATTCCTCCCGCTAAAATACTAAGTATCTCATTCCTCCCGCAGAATAAGAGCCCCACTGAGGTGCCTAACCTAAACCTCTAGAAAGAACCTGAATGATTCCTTGGGATGAACCCCATGAACTGACATCTCCCACCTGAGCCCTTAAGCTAAGTAAAGTCTGAGGTCGCAATTATAGACCCCTACAGGGCTCTCAAATTTAGATCCCCAGACTAGGCCTCAAGAATGATCACCCCACTCTTAGCCCTGAGAGTGGGTTCCTAATCAGTGCCCTTGGCCTGAGTCCCAAAGTGAGATTCCCCAAAAGAGCTACTCATCTTATCTCCTTGGCCATCATTCTCTAGACAGGTATTGCCAGACTGAACCCCCTAGGTTAATCCCACCATTTTTATCCCTTAGATTAAAACTTCCAGCCTGAGCCCAAAAGACTGATTTTCCTGTTCCATCCCACACATTGAAACATCACTGAATCCTCAGACTGGATTCTCACAGTTCCCCAATGTAAACCCCAGAAATGACCCTGAAATTGAGCAGCCCAGCCTGAGCTCCAAGTATTCCAGACTGTGTTTTCCCTAGCCCAAGTCTCTGAAGAGCCCTATTTTTCATCAATCAGATTGAGAGTCCTTCACTAAGCCCTCAGACTAATGCCCTGGATTGTCCCCCAAATTAAGCCACATAGGCTAAGTACCTCATAGGCTGATTTTCCAAGTCTCAACTCTCAGACTGACTTCCCTCATGCTGAACCTCTAATTTTCTATCTCTCAGACTTCAATTCCTGAGTTGATTTTTCTGGGCCAAGTCCAACAGACAAGTCTCCAGACAGCCCTGTGCTGAGACCCAAGAAAGGTGCCTCACTGCTATATTAACTCCCCACATTTTGTACCATCCAGCTAGGGTCCTCAGAAGGTACCTCCTATCTCATTTCTCTACTGAGCCCCATAGAATCACATGTCCACATTAAGCTTCTAGGACTCGGTTCTTTCATTTTACTGGATCCCCAGCATGAGATTCCCAGATGGAAGTTCCCTAAAGGAGCTCCCTGAACTGCACTCCAAAGTGAGCTGCCAATATAAGCTCCCTAGATTGGGCCACAGGTTGAGCCTCTTTTGTCAATAGTGCATTCTCCAGCAATCTACTCAGCCTCTCACCCCAGTTTTTGTACATGCAGAAGTAGAATGATGATGGCTACCTCTTAGGGTTGTTTTGAGGATAAATGAGATAATTTTGAAACACAGTGCCTGGCACATGGTCAAGGCCCAAGCTGTTTTTTATTACCAAATGTCCTGGATAATGTCATCCATACAAAATCCCTCTAAAATTAGCCCCCAGATTGGGCCTTTCAAACTTAGTTTCCTGTTTTGTACTAATCCCAACCCTATCCAAGTCCCCAGAATGAACCTCAGAGTTTGAGGTTGGCTGAATGGGCTCCCCATATTGAGCCCAAAGGTGAAACCCCCAGCAAGAACTTCCCAGTCCGGTTTTATAAGCTGCTCAGAATGATGATCTCTGAATGAAAGCTAGCTAAGATGTGCCCACTAAGCTCCCCAGCCTAAGATCTTAAACTGAGCTGTCTATTATTTACCCATCAGACTAAAATCTCTTGGCTGAGCCCCACTGAATCATATCTCTGGTTCCACAAACTGACTTAGCCACTCTCTAGCTCCAAAGTGAACTCCTGAGCCTAGACCATAGACTGAGTCCCCAGACCAGGCTAAGTAGGCTGCCTACACTGAGTTAAGATTGAACTCCAAACCAAGATCCCAGACTGCCAAGCCCAAACCAGGCTCCATGAAAGCTTCTAGACCAAACTTCTGCACCAAACTGTACTCCCTGGCCTGAACCCCAGGTGAAATCATGGGCTGACATCCCCACACGAATCCCCTAGACTGAACCTGCTCACACCAGACTCCTGGAAATGCCATTCTGTACCTCAAGTGATACTTCTTCAGACAGAGGTCCCTATAGCAAAGCTTCCAGTCTGAGCCCAGTGGCCTAAAATAGGCCTGAGCTTGTGTGCTTCAAGCTTGCCAGAATATTCCTCTTTCCTCCCTTGGGCTCCCCTATGTTCACCACTCAGCCTGCCACTTACCCTGGAATGGAGGACATGCAGGAGAAAAGACAACAGGGAGATCAGCCCCTGCTCTGATGCCAACTATCACCTCCCAGCTAGCCAACCTAAAGTGGCCACCTGCTTTCTGAGTCTTGGTTTTGTCATTGGACAAATAGAACACAGTCACATCTATCTGCCAGGGTTGTGAGGATCAAAGGAGCCAGTTTATGAAAAGCATCTATTGGGGAATCCTGAAAAGGTAGTGGAACCTTGGCCCTGTCCTAAGTAGCTCACAGTCTACTGAGGGACACAAATGTAGATGTATGATGAACACACAGTGTGACGAGTGGGACAGAAGGAGGCAAAGGGGAATTTGGAAACACGGTGTCCTCAATCAGCCTGGGAATTCAGGGCAGGCTTAATGGAGGTAGTGGTCAGAATTTGGAAGACTGACTAGCAGTTGGCCGAGTGAAGCAAGATAAACATGTTTAGGGAGGGGCAGAGGAGGAAACTGAAGTGGTCAGCAGAAGCCAAATCACCAAGGGCTTTGAATGCCAGGTTAAAGGGCTGAGTCGTTGCTCTGCAGGTACAGGGAACCATTGACAGATTTGAGCAGAAGAGTGACAGTGAGCTGTGTGTGACAAAGCTTCTTCTGGCAATCAGGGTAGAAAAGAGGTTGGAGATAGCCCAACACCTAAAAGGCATGGGGAGGCCTGAGCCAGGACAGGGACCTGATGCTTGAACACCAAAACAGGACTTGGTTTACCAACCATATGGAGCCTCTTCAGAAGTACCTGTGGCCCTCCAATACAAACATGGGGAAATACAGTATGTAGAATAGGGACCAGTAAAGCTATGTCCAGGCAATTAGTAGGGGCAGGATTTGTTTAGTGCTTGGGGACTCATTTCAGGTTTTTTGTTGGTTTGGGGGTTTTGTTTTGTTTTGGGTACTAGGGATTGAACCCAGGGCTGCCTTACTGAACTACCTTCCCAGCCCTTTTTATTTATTTATAAATTTAGAGACAACGTCTTACCAATTTGCTTAGGGCCTCACTAAGTTGCCAAAGCTGGCCTTGGACTTGCAATCCTCCTGCCTCAGCCTCCTGAGTTGCTGTGATTATAGGCATGCGCCACCATCCCCAGAACACTTCAGTTTTTTTCTGATGATACCTGGTCACTGTAGGAAATATGGAAATTACAGAAAAGATTAAAGTAGGGGAGAATCTCATGTGATCCAAACCCATGTAGAATAAGCATGATGAGCACTTTGATATTATTCTTCCTAGTGTTTTTTAGGTATGTAAATTTGCAAAAATGAGATCATCCTGTATATACAAGATTGTATCCTTAAAATACCCTGAGCATTTCCCAGACTGTTAAAAACCCTACATAAACTGGGCTGGGTGGCACACACCTGTAATCCCAGTGACTTGGGAAACTGAAGCAGGAGGATCACAAGTTTGAGGCCAGCCTCAGCAACTTAGCAAGGCCCTAAGCAACTTAGAACTGTCTCAAAATAAAAAATAAAAAGGACTTGGCATGTGGCCCAGGGGTTAAGTACCCCTGGGTTCAATCTCTGGTACAAAAAGAAAAAAGAAAAAAGAATCCTACATAAGTATCACTTATAAAAATCATTTGATATTCCATTACATGAGTGTACCATGATTTAACCAAACTGCTACAGTTGGATGTTTTTGTTTTCAACTTGGCACATTAAAAACATCACTTCAATGAAAGTGTATTTATACATAGAACTTGTGCCTGTAATCAGAATTATTGAGACAGATAAAAGGATCATCTCCCCCACTCTCTTTTAGGGTGCTGGAGATTAAACCCAGGGCATCAAATATGCTAGGCAAGCACTCTACCACTGGGTTATATCTCTAGCCTCTCTTTGTTTATTTATATGACTTTTCTGATTATAAAAGTAATACATGTTCTTTGTCAAAACTATGGAAGAGCCAGGCACAGTGGTGCACCCTGTAATCCTAATGACTTGGGAAGCAAAAGCAGAATGGTCAATTCAAGGCCAGCCTAAGCAATTTAGTAAAACCCTATCTCAAAATTAAAAAGTCTAAAAGGGCTAGGGATGTAGCTCAATGGTAAAATGCCTCTGGATTCAATCTCCAGTCCCCACCCTGTACTAAAAAGCAAACACACACACACACACACACACACACACACACACACACACACTCACATACACACTCACACCTATGGAAGAGAAGATGGGTGTGGTGCTACATCCTTGCAATCCCAGCAACTCAGAAGGCTGAGTCGGAAAGATCACAAGTTCAAGGCCAACCTGGGCAATTTACACCCTGTCTTGAAATGAAAAATAAAAAGGTCTGGGTTCAGTGGTGAAGTACCCTGGCATTTGATCTCCAGTACAAATATATATAGTTTTCATATATTATTTGTTTATTTTATATATATATTACAGAAAATCTAAAGAATGTAATAAAAACCACCCACAGTCCCACCATCCAGAGACAACTTGCTAAACATGAATTTTTATATGTAACTATTATTGTCATTACTATTAATGATAATAATAGTTTTGCCAAGCTTGCATTTAATGGCTATCTGCCATCCCATATACTATGATTCTGCTATTGTGGCCTTGAGACAGTTTCAGATTCCGTATGATGTTGCTTTGGACATCTTTGAGGCTAGAACTTTCCAAGATGGGTTGGGGGGTGTGGTCAGGCCAGGAGGAAGTATTCAGGGAGGGAAAAAGCCCCCAAGAGCTTCATTTCTGCTAACCCTCCATCTGACCTCACTTCTCTACCTGTAGAGTCTCTGGAGCTGATAGCCACAGCGGCAGAGCACTCTAATGCTGCCATCCGAAAAATGGTGAGTGGCCCTTATAGATCCTCCCTTCCTTTGCCACCCACTTGTGGTGTCCCTCTCCAGGGTTTGGGGAGCTTGTGATGTAAGGACATGCAAGGGAGATTGGCACCCCAAGCCTTCCCTTTTGCTCACTGTCTCCTTCCAGGAGCGAATGCACAAGCTGCTGAAGGTATATGAGTTGCTAGGGGGTGAGGAAGACATTGTCAGCCCCACCAAAGAGCTCATAAAAGAAGGCCACATCCTTAAGCTGTCAGCGAAGAATGGGACCACTCAAGACCGATACCTCATACTAGTAAGTGCCAGGTGTAGAGTTGTGGGTAGGCATGCCAGATCCCCATTCATGTTGACATGGTACTCAAGAATATGCCTCCAGCCAGACTTTCTTTCCTATGGTATCTTGTATTATCACTATCTATGTTATGAATTATTTTTTTTCTTCTTTACAGATGATGTAACTAAGACTTAGAGATAAATGACTTGAACAAGGTCACCCACTAGAAAGTGACTCACATGCCTAGGCTCTTTCTTTGCAACCCCTGATCCCAATCTGGGCTTTCTTTCCTCCATCTATTGCCTTGAGTCCTCAACAATAAAGCTTTGGAAGTCCCATAAGGGTGGGGAGCCAGGCCACATCCCCACTAGGTCTCCTGCACATACATCCCAAACCTTTTCCTTCCTAGTTCAACGACCGCCTCCTTTACTGCGTGCCCAGGCTGCGGCTCCTTGGCCAGAAGTTTAGCGTGCGGGCACGCATTGATGTAGATGGCATGGAGGTGAGCACCAGGAGGTGGGAAATGGGAATCCAGACTGGGGTGTTGGTGTTGGGAAGAACAAAGATGTGCTAGCTTTGAACATAAGCCTGTGTGTATAAGTGCAGAGGACTAGGGCTCTAGGGAGCTCAGTAGGCCTTACCACTACCCTTTCTCCTTCCATTCAGCTAAAGGAGAGCTCCAACCTCAATCTGCCTCGGACCTTCCTGGTGTCAGGAAAGCAGCGCTCCCTGGAGCTCCAGGCCAGGTACCTGCCTTTGCCTATGCCTTCCTTACAGCCTCCTCTCTCCTTAAGATATGCTTAGGTATTCCAGGCCTGGAGATTATTATAGAGAAAGGATGACCACCTTTCCCCAAAGATGCAGGCTTGCTCTTCTGCAATGGGGGCCACCCCTGAGAGCTAGATGATATTTGGACTAAGGATAAGTACTTACTGGTATGGGGAAAGTCAGCACTCCTGCCAGTGGGGGGCTTTTGGAGAAAGAATAAGCTCTCCCTGATTCAAACAAGAATTTCTTCTGGTGGGTTCTGTCAGAGGACAGGGAAGAGTAGAATACTAACTCTATCATACAATAATAGCACCACAGATAGTTTATTATAGATTCACAGACTTAAGGAAAATAGCTAAATGCAATGTGTGTTCCACGATAGAAGCCTGATTTGGGAAAAACAGCTTAAAATGAGATTTGCTAGACAAGGATTGAATTGAACCTTAGATGTAATGAGCACATTGTCATACTCCTATAATCCAAGTGACCCAGGAGGCTGAGGAAGGAGGATCACAAGTCCAAAGCCAGTCTCAGCAACTTATCAGGGTCCTAAGCAACTTAGTGAGACCTTGTCTCAAAATAATAAATAAATATATAAATAAATAAATAAACAAATAAATAGGGCTGGTGATGTGGCTTGGTGTTTAAGCACTGGTTAAATCCCCAGTACCAAAAAAAGAGAAAAAGAAAACAGTCTGGGAATGTAACTTAGTGGTAAGTGTCCCTGGGTTCAATCCCCAGTACTGCAAATAATAACAGTAATAAAATAAAATAAAATTGTAAAAGTAATAGCATGAGTAAAGTGTTGAGCCTTTTAACAGAGGGGCTTTGATATCTATCCTCTATGTGGATGTTTATATTAATAGATTATATTTCATAAAGTCTTACTCTTGTGCCAGGTACTATTTTTAACTTAATTGAACTGTCTAGTTGAAGTCCTTCCTTTCAACAACACTTATTTCAAGTAGCTACTTCGGCTATGATTGCCACCAACCCATTTTACAGATGGGGAAACTGAGGCATAAGACAGTGTTGCCCCAGATCCCACAGCTGTAAAGGAACAGAGCTGGAATTGGAGCTCAGGCCACTTGGGTCTAATGTCCACTCCCTCAACCACTGTCTAGGCTGCCTTCTGAGAAAAGGGATATGAAGGTCATGGCCAGGACTGGAGAATAGATTCACCTCAGCAGATGACCTGCCTCTGACAGGCTGTGTGGAGGGACTGCATTGAGACAGAACAGAGATGAGTGTGAACTGAGAGTAAAGCGAGCTGAGACTTGGTCCTTGAAACGGAAGGAGTCTGAGAGAGCCTCCCTGAGGCCTGCAGCAGGGACAGCAGGAGCAAAACAGACACATCTGAAAGAATGACAAGCCATGTGACAGGGACACGTTGACTACAGAGAGGGAGGGGGCTGCAGAGATCACTGGACCAAGCAGTGTAGGGTTTCCTCCTAGTGGCAACAGGAAGGTATGGAAAGTTGGTTTTGCAGCTGCTTTTACTGCCCTTATTATTTTTTTAATGAAAATTTTCAACTATCAAGAAAAGTAGAACTATAACAAGCACCCATATGCTCACAATTTGGACAACTGGTTCTCAACCTTGGCAACTCTTGGAATCAACTGAGGAGCTTATAGTAATTATTGATAGCTGGGAGCCACATCCAGAGATTCTGATTTAATTATTCTAGGATGTGGCCTTAAAAAATGGGAAGTTTTAAAAGCTCCCCAGCTTATTTCAATTTGTGCACCAGGGCTTAGAATCACCAAGTCAAATGCAACAAGTGGTAGAGCACTTGCCTAGCATCCATGAGGTCCTGAGTTCCATTCCCAGTACCACGAAGAGAGAAAGAGAGAGAGAGAGACAACTATGGACATTTTGCCATCTATCTTTTTTGGTTTAATATAATTGGTTTGGGGTTTTTGCTTTCTTGTTGTTTGTTTTGCTTTGTTTTGTTTTGTTTGGTACTGGAGATTGAACCCAGGGATGCTTAACCACTGAGCCACATCCCCAGATTTTTTTTTTTATTATTTTATTAGGGACAAGGTGTCCTGAGTTGCTAAGTGCCTTGCTAAATTGCTGAGACTGGCTTTGAACTCACAAGATTCCTGCCTTAGCCTCCCAAGCCGCTGGGATTACAGGCATGTGTCACTGCACCCAGCTGTGTTTTTGTTTTTCAAGGCAGGGTCTCAGTATGTTTCCCAGACCGGCCTCAAACTGCTAGGTTCAAATAATCCTCCTGTCTCAGCCTCTTAAGTAGTTGGGACTATAAGCATGCACTGACATGAGTCATTTTAAACTAAATTACAAAAATCATGAAATTTTATCCCTATATAATTCAGCATGAGTGGCCAAAAATACTATTTTGGTTCTTAAAAAACAAAAGAAAGCCAGGTGCAGTGGTACATACCTGTAATTCCAGCAGCTTTGGAGGCTGAGACAGGAGGATTGGGATTTCAAAGCCAGCCTCAGCAATGGTGAGGTGCTAAGCAACTCAGTGAGATCCCGTCTCTAAATAAAATACAAAATATGGCTGGGGATGTGGCTCAGTGGTCGAGTGCCCCTGAGTTCAATCCCCATTACCCCCCCCCCCAAAAAAAGCAATGCTTTTTCACTGCAAAGAAATTATAAATTAGAAAATATACATAAATAGCCATCAGAATAAAGTAAAAATTCTCCCTAGAACCCTACCACACAGACATAACCCATGGCCTTTTCTTTCCACATTTTATTATGAAAGTTTTCCAAAATACAGAAAATTGGTAGAATTGCCCAGTGAACACTCATAAACCTACCATTTGGATTATAAAAGTGTTAACATTGTACTATATTTACTTTATCATGTATCTATCATTCTATTCATCTACCAAGCCAAGTGATTTGTTTTTAAAACGTGTTTAAAAATAAATTACAAACATCATTACACATCCCCCCTCAAGAGTTTGACACATGCAGGCATGATAGTGTACAACCTGTAATCCTAGCAACTCCAGAGGCTAAAGCAGGAGGATTGCAAGTTCAAGGCCAGCCTCTGCAATTTAGTAAGGCCATAAGCAACTTGGTGAGACCCTGTCTCAAAATTTGAAATAAAATACGATCAGGGGTATAGTGCACCTGAGTTCAATCCCCAGTGCCAAAAAATAATAGGATATTGGATATTAGATAATTTTATATGTTCTTTTCACTCAACATATTATAAATATTCTATACCATTAATAGCTCTCTTCTCCCTCTCCCTCCCCCCCATTATTTTTCTTTCTCTCTTTCTCTCTGTGCTGGGGATCAATCCCAGGGCCTCACCATGCCAGACAAGGGCTGAGCCACATCCCCATTAATTTTGGGGAGGGTACCAGAGATTGAACCCAGGGTGCTTAAGCTCTGAGCCACATTCCCAGCCCTCTTTTATTTTTTTATTTTGAGACAGGGTCTCACTAAATTGCTTAAGACCTCACTAAGTGGCTGAGGCTGGCCTTGAACTTCCTTATGGCTCAACCTCCTGAGCCGCTGGGATTACAGGTGTGCGCCACCGTGCCCAGCTAATGTCTTCTTGTAGTAATGACATGGATGATCTGTTTTGTTTTAACCTGATCTCTATTGTCAGATGCTTAAACTGCTTCCAGTTTTTACTATAATAAAAATGCCTTGCAGTGGACATTCTTGGAGCTAAACATTGACTTACATCCTTACTTTTTCATGAAGTGTTTCTAGGGATATAATTGAACTTTCATATTGGAAGAATGTTTTTGATGTCTAGAGTGTGTGGATGAGGAAAGAAATTAAAATAGGCCAGATAGAAGGCAGCAAGAGTTTAGGGTCCTATTCCTAGTGAGCAGTTGATGAAGCTATACCAGGGCAGAGACCTGAGAGAATGGAGGGCAGACAGGAGAGTCCAGGAAGAAGGCAAAGGGAGGAAAACCTCACATTGATTGACATTTTATCTTTCACCTCAGTTATGCTAAGAACAACACAAAGAGTGATAATCATCTTTATGTTACAAATGAAAACAAAATAAACTGCCTCCTTTCTCAAACTTGACATTCCAGCCACAGGGAATTATTGATGTGGTTTTGTGTATGTTCTATACTCACACCCACTTCACCCTTACTCCTTTACATTAGCCCTTGCACCTCACTGAGGAAAGTTTCCTTAAAAACCCCCATCCAAACTTCAGGCTGGGGCAGGTCCCCAGTCACATAGTAATAAGTGAAGAAGATAGTCAAACCCAGGTCTAATTCTAAAACACTGGCTCTTTGCCACACCAGTTGCTTTTGTTGTGTTGTTGTCATTGTTGTTGCCTTTCCCCCCACAGTGCTGGGGATCAAACCCAGAGTCTCATGTATGCCTGCTAGGCAAGCATTCTTCCACTGAGCTATATCCCCAACTCTCCAGTTGCTTTTTTTTGTTGTTGTTCCAATTGCTTTTTGTTGACCTGCCTAACCCAACATCTTTTTTCCCCCAAGGACAGAGGAGGAGAAGAAAGACTGGGTCCAGGTAACATCCAAGAAGACTTTGTGGTGGGGGCTGGAAAAGTATTAACAGGTGTCATAGGGGTTGGTGGCCTCTTCCCCAAAACACATCTGAACACTATGGCCTTGGACACTTGCCTTCCAACGAATTTTAGCATCCCCATATTACAGATAAGCAAACTGAGGTCCAGAGGTTAAACAGAATCTTACAAATTCTTCTGTTAGAAAACTGTCTTCTTTGAGGGTGTGATCCTGGTGAGTCAAGCCCTATAAAACCTTATGCCCAGACAGGGGCCAGAAAAGCTGGCCCCTGGTTTTTCAACTATTGCTCCCCTTCCTCATTTTACAATTATAACACTGAGACTTGCATTGGGAGGAATTTGCTCAAGGTCATATGCCTGGCAGGGACAGAACTCAAGTTTTCTGACTCCAGGATAGCATAGGAAGGTGAGGTGAGGATGGAAATGGGTGGCTTGTAGGGCAATCTGATCTCTCATTTCTTGATCCTCCCTCACCAGGCCATCAACTCCACCCTCCTGAAGCATGAGCAGACGCTGGAGACCTTCAAACTGTTGAACTCAACAAATAGGGAAGATGAAGACACACCCCCCAACTCTCCAGTAAGAGTCCCTAACCTCTCCTCCTATACTGGGACCCTATCCAGGCCTCCAAATTCCCACCTTCCCTTACAATGATCCACTCCCCTTCTGGAGTCAATGTGCAGTCTTCTGTTGGTAGGGCCACAGAAAAATCAGTAGGGAAACTAGGGCCCCCAAAGGAAAAGACACAGTGAGATATGAGCAGAGCCAGACTCAAAGGCAGGGCTTCTGACTGTCTGCTGCCCGCCCCCCCCCCCCAACCCCGCTGTGATGATCTAAGCCTTGGGGCAGGAACAAGGGCTGGTTGGACTGGGCAGAGGAAGAACTGTCTCTGACCTGGGACCTGGCCCTCCCCGTAGAACGTGGATCTTGGGAAGCGGGCACCTACGCCCATCCGGGAAAAGGAAGTCACCATGTGCATGCGCTGTCAGGAGCCCTTCAATTCCATCACCAAACGCAGGCACCACTGCAAGGCCTGCGGGCATGTGAGTGTCGGGAGGCAGGGGCGGAGCTCAGGAGGGTTCGGGCTGACAGCCCAAAGACTCACTTATAAGTGGGCACCCTCCAAGTGGGGGGAGGCTGCAAGTCTGCTGTGGGAGTTGATACATTGAAGGGGAAGGCCCACTGGAATCAGGCTGCTCTTGCCCACTTGCCACCCCAGGTGGTTTGTGGGAAGTGCTCCGAGTTCCGGGCCCGCCTTATCTATGACAACAACCGCTCCAACCGAGTGTGCACTGACTGCTACGTGGCCTTGCATGGGGTGCCTGGGAGCAGTCCAGCCTGCAGCCAGCATACACCTCAGCGCCGGAGATCCATCCTAGAGGTAAGAGCCAGGCCCCTAACCAAATATCCCACAAGTGGGCATCAGCCACCTAGCTAGTATGATTGAGGAAACCTGGGAATCTGTGAAATACTAGGGTATGATGTGCATCTGTTGATCAAGTGATCCAGGCTTGGAGTGAATAAAATGAGTGCAAGAGTGAATGAAACAGTAATTATTTCAAAATGCTTTACACATTTAATCCTCACAGTAACTAACCTACCTCATGCTATTAATATCCCTAGTTTTCAAACAAGGAAACTGAGCCCCAGAGAGATTATTTGCCCATTACATAGCCAGTGAGTGACAAAGCTAGAGTTTTGTGTTGCTTTTTGTTTGTTTGATTGGTACCAGGGATTAAACTCAGGGGCACTAGCCTACAGAGCCACATCTCCAGCCCTATTTTGTATTTTATTTAGAGACAGGGTCTAACTGAGTTGCTTAGCACCTCGCCATTGCTGAGGCTGACTTTGAACTTGCGATTCTCCTGTCTCAGCCTCCTGAGCTGCTGGGATTACAGGCATGCACCACTGTGCCTGGCTTATATTGCTTTTTTTGAGACAGGGTCTGGCTGTGTTCCCCAGGTTGGCCTTGAACTTGGAAAAGCTGCCTCAGTCTCTCAAGTACCTGTCACTATAGGCACGCACCACCAAGCATGCCTAAGATTTTTTTTTTTATTAACAAACTGCCTTTTCTCATTACAAAGTAGGCTAAATAAGATAACATAAACAAAAAGCAACAAAATACTATATTCCTTTTACCTAGACACAACTGCTAACATCAATCCTTCCTATCTTTCTAGGCACATGCACATGTATACATTTTGGGTTTTTTTTAATATTTATTTTTTAGTTGGACACAATATCTTTATTTATTTATTTTTATGTGGTGCTGAGGATCGAACCCAGGGCCTCACATGTGCTAGGCGAGCGCTCTACTGCTTAGCCACAACCCTAGCCCAAGGGTTTGTTTTTACAAACTATTATTTAATACCTAGAGTGCTTACTCTGTGCTAGGAACTATCCTAAATATTTACATGTATTAATTCATTTGATGTTTACAACAGCCCTCTGTGCTCTCCTTCCAAGTCCATGTATTTTCATCTAGAGCTGGAATTCTGAGCCAGACTACATTTACCACCCACCCCTTAACCATAATGCTAGATTGCCTCTTGAGTGTACAAATGAATGTGACGAAAGATGAAAAAAGGTGAGGTATGAGTGTGTGAATGACTTGAAGAATAAATAGACTGACAGAAGTAAGAGTGCCTGACAGACATTTATTAGTTGCCCCTGATGAGAACTATACCCCCTCTTCCCTGGCTCTAGAAGCAGCAGCCCTGGCCTGAGCCAGACAGATAAGCCTAGCTTTGAATTCTGACTCTACCTGACTTTCTGGGTGGTACCAGGCAAATCAATTCTGCCACCTGAGCTTCACTGTTTTCCTCTAAGACATGGGAATAGGAATCCATACACTAAGGGGCTCTTTAAGCCAAGAGGAGTCAGGCTAGGCCTTCTATCAACATTGACACCACCCCATGTCTCTGACTACAGAAACAGGCCTCCGTGGCTGCAGAGAACAGTGTCATCTGCAGCTTCCTGCACTACATGGAGAAGGGTGGGAAAGGATGGCACAAGGCATGGTTCGTGGTCCCTGAGAATGAACCCTTGGTGCTGTACATCTACGGAGCCCCTCAGGTGTGCATCCTATTCCTTTGGGTCTTTTCAGCCACCTGGCAAAATCAGGCTACCCACCTTCTCTCCAGTCCTTTGACCTTTCCTTGGCCTTGGGGGGATAGGGTGACTACCTAAGGGAAAGTTAGAATTCCCACCCTTGTGTGACAAAGACTGACTAGAGACAAGGAGTGGTTGTGGGCCAAGGCATGTAGGGAAAACAGGTGAGTTTGGGGTGGAAGCTGGCTTTCTGGAAGAATCAGGAGTGAAGACAGGGCACTACTAGGTTCAATTTGGAGTGGGGAAAAGCATGTAAATAGGGGCAATGACCTAGACAAAGTCCTGAAAACACTGCCAAAGAGACAAGCCCAGCTATTTTTGGGTGTGGGAGGAAACGGGTACTTGAAGCAGCCTGCATTCTAGACCCAGTTCAAACATTTCCCTATTGGTTACAATAAGGCCAAGTAATCTATTTTTTTTTTCTTTTTGGTACTAGGGATTGATCTCAGGGATGCTTTACCACTGAGATCCCTAGTCCTTATGTAATATTTGAGATAGGATCTCACTAAGTTGCTGAGATTGGCCTCAGACTTTTGATCTTCCTGACTCTGCCTCCTGAGTTACTGGGTTATAGGCACGCACTGTGGCCCCTAACCAAGGAAATCTTCTTGAGCAGGGAAAGAAAAAGGGGAGCAGACGCAAAACCCGTTATAAGTTGGGGCAAAGGGGAATGTCCAGCCTCCAGGTGATCCCAGCCCTATCCCTCCTCCACAGGATGTGAAAGCCCAGCGCAGCCTGCCCCTCATTGGCTTCGAGGTGGGGCCTCCTGAGGCAGGGGAGAGGCCCGACAGAAGACATGTCTTCAAGATCACCCAGAGCCACCTAAGCTGGTACTTCAGCCCTGAAACAGAGGAGCTCCAGCGACGCTGGATGGCTGTGCTTGGCCGGGCAGGCCGTGGGGACACGTTCTGCCCAGGGCCCACACTGTCCGAGGACAGGGAGATGGAAGAGCCACCAGTGGCAGCTTCAGGAGCCACTGCTGAACCCCCTGAAGTCCCCCAGACCCGAGACAAGACCTAGAGGGTTTGGGGGGAACTGGGAGCCCCCATCCCACACACTAGCTGCCCATGTCCAGTTGGGGGGTTCCAGCCCCCTCCTTCCCAGCTCAGTCAATACTTGAACTCCCATCACGGGCACTTTCAATCCCGAATGCTGGGTCTTGGGTTTTTTAATCATCTTTTCACAAAACGTGGGCTTTTAAAAAGTATTCCTACAGTGATATTCATTTTTTTAAATCCCCATCTCCAGGGAGGGTAGGAGCTTTTGCTATACCCACCTGAATTAGGCTGTCCCCTCCCAAAACAATACCCCACAGATCCTGCCTCCACCCAATTTCCCTCAAAAGCATCAGAGGCAGGAGTTCTGGATTCAAAGTGCCAGCTCTGCCACTGACCCTGGTACCCCAAACCACTCCTGCCTCCTCAGCCAGTGTCTTCACGTGTACAACTCCACGTGGGGTGGTGACTAGACCCCTCCTGCCTCTCCCATGGCTTATAGCTTCTACCCAGCTCCAAGGCTACCCAGTATTTTATCGTCCAGACCCATGGCAGGGCCAATGGGCAGGACAAGGGAACAGGGGGGAGGACAATGGATACTCTTTGTTTTGTTTTGTTTTTTTTAAAGAAAAATACAGTTTATTTCAGGCTTACAGTAACTTTCAGAGCACTGCTGTGTTCCATTCATCCATATAGTTTGTTTATACAAAGTACCAGGCTACTAGGGTGGGCCCAGAAACCACTCCCTTGCCAAACTCTCAAGTTCAACTCCCAGAAGGCTGATTCCAAGGCTACTCACAGGTCAAGCCACAGATTAAACAAGAGGGTATTATTTATTAGGGTCATAAGCCTCATCCCTGAACTTAAATGGGATGGGATAAAGAATGAGGAAAGAGGTTGGAGGAGACAGAAAATAGCCCAACTCTTCTTCCAAGCTCACCACCTTGCCAAGATCTTAGAATTCCTAAGGGAACCTGGGGTGAGAGGCTGGGCTGGAGGAAGGGAGCATTCCTGGGAGGTTTTAAGCTCTGAGCAGGAATAAGAGTTGCTATGTGTCGGGTGTGGTGGGGTGGGGTAAGGGAGAGGCACCACAGCTACTTTTGCTTACATCTTCATCATCTGCATGTTCATCTCACCATTCCTGACCCAGCCAGCCCTTGGCACTGAGTACTGGTCCCCAGGCTCATCCTCTCCATAATCCTCCTGTCTAGTATCCATTAGAATCTACCTCCTCCTCCATCCACGCCCACATTCACTCATCCTTCCTCTTCACTGACTGCACCCAAGAGGAACTATGCTGGGAAAACTGGCCTCATCACTCAGATAACTTAAAGCCCAAGGGGGTATGATGGACCAAGTGCCTTAGAACCCCCCAAAACCAAGAACCTTAGGGCTTTTCTTCCCCTGTAGGGAACTGCACAGAGGAACAAGAAAGAGGGTGGGAATAGTATAACCAATCCAGAGGTCTATAGCCCTCCATAAAAGCCCTACAAATAAGTTTCAGAATACCTAGCAAACAAGGGCCCAAACTAATTCCAGCCCCACTCATTTCTTTCTCCGGACAATGGTCCAGCCATCTTCCACTATATCCTCTTCCTTAATATTCTGGGAGTTTGGATCAGAGGGTTCAGGCTTGGGGGAGACCCCATCCGTGGTGGCCCCATCATTTGTAGCTGTGACCTGTGAATACAGGAAATATAAAAAATAGAAGAGAAGTACATGATAGAGTGTTAAATACACTAGCCATTGTAGACCCAGGCTCTGCTCCCAACTTCCCCAGGACTGGCTGTGACCTATGCCTCTCCAGATAATACCACAACCTCCAGAAACAATCACCCCCAATCATTTCTGTGATTTTAGATCCTCCCCCAGAAAACTGAAAACATCTGCATCCCCACCACCACCCAAGGAGCACCCCTTTCACCTCCATCTCTTCCACGCTGTCTGCATCATCTTGATCCCCATCAGTCTCTTTGGCTGCCTTAAGTGCAGTGGCTTTGACTTTGCACTTTCTTTGGGTGATGTGGGAGGCCATCTCCCTCAGAGCAGCCCCATCACCCTTCTGGAAGTGGTGGAACATGGTCTGCAACTGCTGGCTCACCTACCAAGAAAACATTCAACCAGCTTAGATTTTCCCAGAGAATCTACTATATATATAATCAGTCTGTGCTTGCAGCAAGACTATGGAAGGAGTTGTATTTTCCAGAAGAGAATGGGGCTGTTTCCTCCCTAAGAAGTTTGCTAATGAAGAAATCACATATGTAGGGCTCAGGTGAGGGTCTGAAGCATTAAAAGAGGGCTTCCTAGTAGGAAAGGCACTAGAACTAGACTTTCAAAGACAGAAGATGTCAAAGGGAGAGCAATCTCAGCAGGGGGAGCAGTGTTAACCGTGGCAGAGGTAGAAATCTACTGGGGTTAGATACAGGCCTGGATGGGAATAATATATGAAGAAATATAAGAAATGTAAGGTTTGAAAAGACCTAGAAAAACTAGACCTTTTCCTCTGGGCTAAAGGAGTCTTAGAAGCATCTTGTGCAGGACCCAAGAAAAGAACAGTTTTAGCCCAAAACATATGGCTGAGGAGAAGAAAGATGACAGGTAGAGGAGGTAGAAGTTGTGTCCATGATAATCTCACCTGGGGCAGACTCCCATCCTCCACAACTGTATCAAACTCATTTGTCATCAGCTCCCCAAGGAAGTCTTCCACCTCATCCAGCTCCAAGTCAGCTGAGTAGGAAAGAATAGGACCCTCTGTCAAAGACCAGGCAACTTCACCCCTGCCCATTACTTTTCAATACGTACTTGGTAGGTCTGAATCTGGTTGGAGGTAAAAGACCAAACCGTGAGCCTTTTATTCACTAGAGTGCTCTCTTTCATCTGGCCTATTCTAACTGGCCTCCCTTCTATGTTATCTTGTATAAACTACTCACTTCTCTCTCAGCCTCTTCTGTTGGTGGGTCTAATAGTGCCCTCCTTGAATATCTGTAATAAGAAGTCACTCAACCCAATGAATGGCAAAGGGGAGATCCCTAATCTGTGTAAATATCCATCACTCATGGGCTGAAGTGTTTAAAATATATAGATCTATTACAACTGTGGCTCCATTGATACAGGAAGCCACAGACCAAAGGGCTAAGTAGGAAGAAATGTATGTGCCACTTCCAATGACTAAAATCACATCCTATAATGGGACTCTGGCCAAGTCTTCCTCTTTGGGCTTCAGTCATCTTATGGGCCAATGTTCTCTACATTTTCTGAATTAGAGAATAACTCAAAAATGTCTTATACCAAGTTCCTCAGTCTCTCTTCTGTCTCTATGGTCTCCCTGGGAGAACTCATCAAGCCTCTTGCTTTTCCCTACCACTCAAAGCTCATATCACCCAACTCTGTCTCCAACTCAGAGTATGTATGTATATAGATGTTTCACAGGTGCCTCAGACCTCCAAATCCAAAGACTCATCACCTTGCCCTCCAAACCTCATCCTCCAGAGTTCCTCTGTTCTACAAAAGGCACCTAAGCCACCCACCCAGTCACTCAAACCAGAAACCTGTCTCTTTTTCCCCTCACCCCTCTCCTGCCAAGTACTCTCCAATGCCATAATCCATTCCTTTCTTTTCTGTGACCATTGTCATTGCCCTACTTCAGACCTCATCATTTTCTAGACCAAAACCACCTTCCCTTCAGTCTTTCTCTCTTCATTCCATGCTCTATACTGTTACTTTCTATCCAACAAATCCCATCCTCTGACTCACCTTAGAACCTGCCCATAAATTTTTACCACCTACTGCAGTGTTTCATAGTTTGCCTTTGGGAAACATCTGTTCTGTTGATTTTTAAGGGAAGCTATCCATAGAATGTTAATGGAAAACAAAGGCAAACAGGGTTCTTAGTGATTCTTATCCTTATGCATGTCTTCAATATGTTAATGAGTGTTATGTTGTGACTCTTAAGTGGAAGCTGAAGAAAAAGAACTTACATAATTTGACTGGAGAAGTTTTTTCTTCACTGAACATCTAACTGGACAAGTTTTCCATAGCATGCATTTTGGCAAACACTGGCCTAAAGGATAAAATCAAAGGCACATAAGGCCTTCCAGGTCTTACCCTTTGGGGGGAAAGGTCTCCCTACCTCTAGCCTCATTCTCTACTACTCCTTCACAATAGAGCCCTCTGTCACTTTCCAAATATAGCACATTATCTTCTCATACCACAGTATTCATGAGTGTTATTTTCTTCGCCTCTCCTATTCAATTAACTCCTTCTCATCCCTTAAGACCCAGTCCAATCACCACTTCCCTGAGAAGCCTCTCTCCAAGGTTCCTATAACCAGAATAATTACAAGCTCCTCTTTATCAGAACACTTATCTCCCAGTGTTTTAACTGTCCATTTACCCATTTACAACCCTCACTAGAGTGTAAACTGTCTTGAGATATGACTGTCTGATATCATCTCCAAGGCTAAAAAAATGAATAATTTTATAAAAAACCATAGAATGCAACAGGCCCTCTTTTGGGCCACTTGTTCTTGTATAATCCTCAAGACAGGAAATAGCCACATGTGGTTACTGAGCACTTGAAATGCGGCTAGGCCAAACTGAGATGTGCTAAAATGAAATTAACAGAGTTTGAACACTTAATACTAAAAAACATAAAAATATTTCAATAATGTTTTGTTTTTGTGGAACTGGGAACTTGATCCAGGGCCCCTGGCACTGAGCTACATCATCAGATCTTTCTAAAAATTTTAATTTGGAAACAGGGTTTCACTAAATTGCCCAAGCTGGCCTCCAACTTGCTATCATCCTGCCTCAGCCTCTCCACTTAGTGGGATCACAGGCATGCACTACCACCCCTGGCTCAATAATGTTTTATACTTATGGCATACTAAAATATTTTGAATGTGAGTTGAAAAGTATGTATTATTAATTTCATGTGCCTCTCTTTGCTTTAGTAAAAACGGGTGTGTGTGTGTGGGGGGGGGTGTGGTGCTGGGGTTGGAACCCAGGACCTTAAGCATGATAAGCAAGTGTTCTACCACTGAGCTACACCCACAGTCCAACGGTTTGTAAGTTACATGATGGATGACACACAATTCTACTGGACAGCACTGCAGGTAGAGACTCTTACATTCATTTTTGGGAACTAGAAAACTGAGTCTCAGTAGGTAAAATGCCTTGCTCGGGGCGAAAGCATGATTCCGTGGCAAGCCCCTTAAGATAGAATTCTGACTCCAAAGCCTGCGTCCATTCCACCGCGGTCCAGGTACCAACCGACAACCGCTAAAGAGGAAGTGCGTACTTAGCAGGATGGAGCCCCTCTTCTTCACGCCCAGACACAGATCGCTTTGCCTCCCATTCACTCACCATTGCGGATGAAGTAATCCTCCACTGCACCCCCCAGCCACTCCGCCTTCTCTTGGCTGTGCACGCCCCCGAATCCATTCTCTACAGCGATCTGCGAACACAGGCCCAAGCCCACCACGTCAGCTTGGGAACTGGCCTGGTGTGCCCTGAATGATCTGCCGCTTACGCCGCCGCCAAGCCTCAGGCGCTTCGCCTGGCCGATTCCTATTTTGCCCGAGGGGCCTTAACCTTGATTCTGCCGTGGCCTCACTCACCTGTAAAGCAGGCCAAGCCTCCAACGCCGCGCGGACGCCAGCCCTGAAGAGGGCTCGTGCATCTTCCCCGGCGCCCGCCATCATCCAGTCTGTACCACGTGAAACCCCGGCGGCCCAATCCCGCCACAGATCGTTACAGGCTGAACCAACCGAAAGCTGATTCTGAGAACAGACTCTCTTTTCCGCTGACCTGGCAACAAGACCAGAGCAATAGAAAAGTCTATCAGACCGATTGATGACACCACCACAGTTAACACTTGTAATAATTAAATCAAAGGACAACCAACGTGAATGATTTCTGAGCCTCGATTTCCCGATCCGTGGGTGCTGCGCAAGAAAGATGTGGGGTAGTTATTAGGTCTATAGACTCCAGGCTCTGGGACAGAGGACTCAGGGAGCTTAGCCTAAAAACAAAATCTATATCGTAAATAGCATGCTAACATCTGTGGAACACTGCAAGCAACGAGAGCAGAATACACATTTTTCTGAAGTGCACAAGAACATTCTCCAGAATCTACCATAAATTAGTCCATAAATCAGCCGGGCACAGTGGTGCATGAAGGGTGAGGCAGGAGGATCACAAGTTTGAGACCAGCCTGGGCAACTTAACAAGACTCTGTCTCAAAATAAAAAGGGCTAGAAAATGGGCTGGGATTGCAGCTCAGTGGTAGCGCACTTGCCTGGTAGAGTGCTCACTTAGTACAAGGGCTCGATCCTTAGCACTACATAAAGATAAATAAAATAAAGGTGCTATGTCCATCTAAAATTTTAAAAAATTAAATAAAAAGGGCTGGGAATGTGGCTCAGCCCTTGGATTTGATCCCCAGTACCACAAAAGAAAAGAAAAATGTCCATTTTAAAAATCAGTAGTGCAAGGTGCTGGGTTCCATCCTCAGCACTAAAAATAAAAATAATAAAATAAAGGTATTGTGTCCAACTACAAGTAAAAAATGTTTTTAAATGAAAAAAGGGGGATGGGGTTGCAGCTCAGTGGTAGAGCATTTGCCTAGCATGTGTGAGGCCCTGGGTTCGAGTCTCAGCACCACATATAAATAAAATAAAGGTCCATTTACAACTAAAATAAATATATATTTTTAAAAATGAAAAAAAATAAGTTGCAATGGCAGAGTAGCAAGGGCCTTATTTAAAGCATAAAGTGGACCTCTGTTACAGTATGGAGTAAAATTAGAAATCAACAGCAGAAATAAACTTCTGAAATACGTGGAAATGTACACTCCAAAGTAATGAATGGGTCCAAAAGGAGAAAGTTCACAGAGACAGTAGAAAATACTTTGAAATGAAAACAGCATACCAAAATTTGTGAGCTATAGCTGGAACAACACTTAGAGGGAAATTTTAAGCTGTAATTCTTTTTACAAAATGTAGTTGTCAATGATAACAAAATCTCAATCCTTGTCTGTTGCCAATCCAATAATGAGGACAAGGTATTGAGAAAAAGGAAAAGTTTTATTGTTCAGCTAGCAAGGGAGAAACACAGGGGACTCCTGTCCCAGAGACTGTGATTCTCCCCCAGGGGAACAGAGCACTTTAAAAAAAGGAATAGGAGGGCTGGTGTTTAAATATTATCAACAGACGTACTTAGTTAATATCCACCTGGTGTTCTTGAGAGAGTCATTGCTTCAGCATGTGGGTTTGGAGTTTCTTTATTTTTGTGGGCAGTGATAGCTTTCTGAGCGGTAAAGGACATGATAGCTTAGCCTGCAATGGGGAAAATGTTATGTTATTTCCTCCCACTGTTAGGAAATGGGGGAGAAGAAGATAAAAGGGGAAAGGGCCAGTTTTAAAATAAGCCATCAAAGCTGGGCATGGTGGCACATGCCTACAATCCCAGCAACTCAAGAGGCCTACACAGGAGGATTGCAAGTTCAAAGCCAGCTTCAGCAATTTAGCCAGGCCCTAAGCAATTTAGCAATACCTTGTCTCAAATTTTAAAAAGGGGGAGCTGGGGATGTGGCTCTTTGGTTAAATGCCCTTTGGTACTCCACAGTACCAAAAAAAAAAAGCTGCCAAGCAACAAAGTTTATATTAAAAGCATAAAGTGGGCCCCCATTATATAAATATTTAAAAAGAAGAATCTTAAATTAACAAGCTTAGGAAAAAAGAAAAGTAATCCCAAAGCAAACATAAAAAAGGAAATAATAAGAGCAAGAAAACGTTAAATAGACAATGGAGAAAATCAGTGAAGCCAAAAGTTGATTATTTGAAAAGATCAAACTGGGTATTGTAGCCAGGTGTGGTGGTGCATGCCTGTATTCTCAGCAACTTAGGAGGTTGAGTTCAAATCCAGCACTTAGCAATTTAGTGGGGCCTTAAACAACTCAGCGAGACCCTGTCTCTAATAAAGTATAAAAAAGGGCTGGGGATGTGGCTCAGTGAGTTAACCACATATAAATAAAATAAAGGTCCATTTACAACTAAAATAAATATATATATTTTAAAAAATGAAAAAAAAAGTTGCAATGGCAGAGCAGCAAGGACCTTATTTAAAGCATAAAGTGGACCTCTGCTACAGTATGGAGTAAAATTAGAAATCAATAGCAGAAATAAACTTCTGAAATACGTGGAAATGTACACTCCAAAGTAATGAATGGGTCCAAAACCCCTGGTACCAAAACAAACAAACAAACTGGATGTTGCACATGCCTATAATCCCAGCCACTGCTAAGTCAGGAGTGTGGCAAATTGGGGGGCAGCCTCAGCAACTCTGCAAGACCCTATATCAAAATAAAAATGGCTGGGATGTAGCTCAGTGGTAGAATGCTTGCCTAGCATGTGTGAGGCCCTGGTTTCAACCTCTAGTACCTCAAAGACTACAAAAGAAATGAATAAAATCAAGAAAATTTATCTACCATTAGCTAGACTAAGAGGGGGAAAAAGAAGACTCAAATCACTGAAATCAGTAATGAAAGAGGGGACATCACTACTGACTAGTCAAAAGAGACCACAAATTATATGATACTATTTATACACAATAGGCAAATGTGTACACAGTAGGCAAATGTGTAGGGACAGAAAATAGATGAATTGTTTTGCAGGGCATGGAAAGGAAAGGAAATAGCATTTACTCTTAATGGGTCCAGAGTTTAATTTGGGGGTAATGAAAATGTTCTAAAATTACATTTGTAATGGCAGCAGATATGGTGCCATTGTGTCCACACCTATGCTAAATTGTGTCCACACCTAACCTAAATTCACATGTTGAAGCCTACAGCCCAGTACGTCAGAATGTGACTGTATTTGTGGATAAGGCCTTTCAAGAAGCAATTAAGGTGAAGTGAGGTCATAAGGGTAGGCCCTAATGTAATAGGATTATTATCCTTTGAAAAAGAGATAAAAGGGGCTGGGGTTGTGGCTCAATGGTAGAGCGCTTGCCTAGCATGCATGAGGCACTGGGTTCAATCCCTGGCATTACATAAAATGAACAAATAAAATAAAAGTATTGTGTCCTCCTACAACTAAATTTTTTTTTTTTTAAGAAAGAGATAAAAGCCAGGTGCAGTGGTGCATGCCTGTAATCCCAGCAACACGGGAGGCTGAGGCAGGATTGTGAGTTCAAAGCCACCTTGAACAACTTATCCAGGACAACTTATCCAGGCCCTAAGCAACTAATCGAGACCCTGTCTCTAAATAAAATATTAAAAAGGGCTGGAGGTGTGGCTCAGTAATTAAGCCCCTTTGGGTTCAATCCCAGGTGCCAGAGAGAGAGAGAGAGAGATAAAAGGGGCAGAGACACCAACAGGTGGATAGGTGTATTCATACATAGATGACCAGCTGAACACACAGCAAGAAAATTAAAGAAGCTGGGCTTGGTGATGCATGCCTGTAATCCCCGTGGCTCAGGAGGTTGAAGCAGGATGATCACTAGTTCAAAGCCAGCCTCAGCAAAAGTAAAGTGCTAAGCAACTCAGTGTGACCCTGTCTCTAAATAAAATACAAAATAGGGCTTGGGATGTGGCTCATTAATTGAGTGCCCCTGAGTTCAGTCCCGGTACCCCTCCCCACCAAGAAAGGAAGGAAGGAAGGAGAAGAAAGGAAGGAAGGAAGAATTTTTTTAAAAAAAATCAAAGAGGAAATCAATAGAAACCAATCCTGCTGATAGTTTGATCTTAGACCTCTAGCCTCCAAAACTGAGAAAATCAAATTTTTGTTGTTTAAACTACCCAGTCTGTTATATTTTACTATGGCAGACCTAGAAACATAGTAGAGTTTACTCTCTATATACACTAAAAACAGGGCTGGAGTTGTGGCTCAGTGGCAGAGCACTTGCCTAGCTTGTGTGAGGCACTGAGCTCGATCCTTAGCGCCACATTGAAATAAACAAATAAAATAAAGGTATGCTATCAATTTAAAAACATATACTAAAAACCATTCAATTGTATACCTTAAATGCTTGAAGCCATGGCATGTAAATAATATCTCAATAAAATTGTTTTTAGAAGAGTGTCCTAGGTGATTTTCCTCACACATCAAAGGTTGCAAACTTTGAATTAGACCATGCTATCAAGCAGCCCTGACAGTTTTGTGCCTGGGCCTGTAATGAGCACTGCTTGGTCATATGTTTAATGGGTTGCTCAAGGACCTTGTGGTCTGGCATGCAAGATTGTCCAAAGACCACAGAGAATGAACAGAGCCTAAGGTGAATCTAGGCTTGATTAGATACAATTTTTCCAGCCCTCTCTAAGAAAAATAGAACAGGAAAACAGAAAATGAAAGAAAAAGAGAACAGAGCCGGTGGGATAGCTCAGTAGTAGTACACTTGCTCGGCATGCAGGAAGCCCTGGCTTCACCCCCCCCCCCCCCCCCCCCAAGTACAAAAGTGTTTCTTTATCATTATAAAATAAATCACAAATGTTAAAGCTTTACAAGTTTTTTGTTGCTTTGGGGTATTTTGGGGGGGGTTTGTCTTTTAAATTAATTAATCAATTTTAATTAGGCATATATGACAGCAGAATGCATTTTGATTAATTATACACAATTGCAGCACAACTTTTCATTTCTTTGGATATACATGATGTATCGTTGCACCATATGTGCAGTCATATATGTAGTTGTTTTGTTTTATC